GTTTCTACCATTTGGCAGAAATCAAATCCTTTTGTTTTATTTTTATTTTTTTTTGGTTTTATTATTATTATTATTTTATTTTTTACTTCTTCATTCTCCTTTTCTTTTTTCTCTTTCAGTTTCTTTGTTTGATTTTTGGTTTTGATTTGCTATTTTCATTTTTCTTTCTTTTTTTTTCACACGTCAAATTTCACTCCCTTTTTTTTTCTTCTTTCCCTTTTTTTTTTTTTGGTTTTTTTTTTTTTTTTTTTTTTCCTTTTTTTTTTTTTGGATTGTCTTTTTATTTTTTTATCCCATCATTTTTTGTTGATTATTGTTATTGTTATTGTTATTATTTTTGTTTATTTATTTATTTTTTTTTTTTTTTATGCAGGAATTCAACCTTTTGAAGCGAATCAAGAATTCTGAGGTTCAAGATTTTTCTGTGTGTAGAGGTAAAAAAATGTTTGTTGCAATTATTTTATGAGTTCAGAAATTACATACTTATGAATAAACTCAAAATTGCAAACCTCCGTACACGTCGAGGATCAAGGACTGTCACTTTTCACTATCCAAAGCACTTTTTGTTAAGGACCAAGGACCTGCTCCTTCCATCGTCTAAGGCACTTTGTGTTAAGGACCAAGGACTGACTCCTTCGACTATCCAAGGCACTTTGTGTTGAGGACCAAGGACTGGCTTCTTCAATCATTCAAGACACTTTGTGTTAAGGACCAAGGACTGGTTCCTTCCATCGTCCAAGACACTTTGTATTGAAAACCAAGGACCTGTTCCTTCCATCGTCCAAGACACTTTGTGTTAAGGACCAAGGACTTGTTCCTTCCATCGTCCAAGACACTTTGTGTTGAGGACCAAGGACTGGCTCCTTCAATCGTCCAAGACACTTTGTGTTAAGGACCAAAGACTGGTTCCTTCCATCGTCCAAGACACTTTGTGTTGAAGACCAAGGACCTGTTCCTTCCATCGTCCAAGACACTTTGTGTTAAGGATCAAGGACTTGTTCCTTCCATTGTCCAAGACACTTTGTGTTGAAGACCAAGGACTGGCTCCCTCAACTGTCCAAAGCACTTCATGCTTGGGGATCAAGGACCTGTTCCTTTGACCAACCAAGGCATTCTTTGTAGAGACTATTTACATATTTTGGAAACTCGAGATTTTAGACAATAAACCAATTTGAAAGGTTTACTATCCCTTTTTCTTTTTTTCGCTGACTTTTTTTTTTTTTTTTTTTGCAGACATGGCCGTAACAAGTTCTAATGATAAAGTGTGTTCTGACATGCACGAAATTGTTGAGTTTAAAAATCAAGGCAAAAGTTATCTGCGTTTCAAAGATACTGATGTGAAGTACCATGCCCAGACCGGCGTACGAGGTGAACTTAAAGTTAGTGTCCATAAGCCAACGACAGATCCTTTCCCCAACCTTCTGGAGCCATTGTCGGAGTTGCATATGTCCACCATTAGTGATTGTCACGAGAGTTTGGATACTAGCAAGTCCAATCACTCTAGCAGTCATCTTCCCTTTTTGTGTCTTCCACCTCATCATTCCCAGAGCATGGAGTACATTCCAAGGGCTGTGATTTGTGAGAGAATTGATAATAGAGAGATACGATGGGGAAGCGCACTGGTCAGTCGAGGAGAGATTTCTTTTCTTCCAAAATTTTGGGAGTGGTCTTTGTGGGTCCAGAAACTTCTACTCAAGAGGAATCTCCGAGAGTTAGCTTTTGCAGTCGGTTCTGCTGCAAAAGATTACCATCGCCCAAACTCCATTTATAGAGCTCTTTGTGAGGTTTGGTGTCCAGAAACCAACACCTTTGTGACTGCCAATGGTGAAATTGGCATTTCTCTTTGGGACATCCGTGAGATAAGTGGACTTTCGATGATGGGTCATTATTATGAGGAAGTAGTCCCAAGCCTTTCAGAGTTGACGGATCATCTTCCCAAGTCTTGTTTGTATCTCTTTAATGTTTTCGCGTTGATTGCCCATGCGAATGAATGCGACAGAGTTACTCACGAACAGTGGATTAATTTTTGGTTTCATGAGAATGGTTGTCCCGAACCCTCGACAACACAAAAATTATAAGAATGCTATGAATTTAAATCCATTCAAAAGGCGCCATCAAAGAACATCGAAGGAAATACTGAGGCCCGTGGTGGCAGACAAGCCGAGAGACATTACTCGTAGGGATCGACGTCACTGGGGCAATTTTCCAGCATCTCTGTCTATGGAAGAAGAAGAGGAATTAGAGATAGCAGCCTATCTCTCCCTATGGCTTTGTCGCTTCGTTCTTCCGTCTGGGGACGAAAGTCTAAGAGTTGGGACTTTTAAAGCATCTTCTAGGATGGCAGGCGGGTACACTTATAGTCTAGTTCCACCCATATTGGCGAGCATTTATAGTGGACTTACACGAACATCTAACTATCAGGCAAATCCAGATCTTGGCTCAATTTCACATTCATTTCCTGGACATTTTCTTTATGCTTGGGCAGCAACTTATTTTGTCCGAGGTGTTTATGCTCATGTAGACAAGAGTTATTCTCGTCCTATAATTCGAAGATATGCTGGAACTCTGAATGCTTTTCAATCTTGGGAGAAAAATGTCGTTGATTGTCAGGAATTTATCCGTGGAGCGATGAACACCGATAACTTTTGCTGGAATCCATTACCCTCATCATCTCATCCTGATGTACGTGTGGACGACCAATCGAGGTCTGCAGATACTTCAGAATTCATGATAAGTATTCGATCTGGATTTGTCTCTTATCGTCGAGGAAATTCACCTTTCATTCTTGAGGCGTATAATCCTCACAGGTTTGTGAGACAGTTTGGCTTTAGACAGAAACTTCCCTATTCACCAAGAAAGTTGAATATTGCCCCCAGTGTAGGCGACACGTATCTGGTTTGGTTGTCCCTAACTAAGATAAAAAGTGGGTCTGTATTTCATATTCCAGAGTATGTGAGGGATATACATCAAAACATTGATGTTGAATACCAGGCTTGGTGGAATAGCAAAGTGTTACCACTTTTGACCAAGGTCCAGGTGCATGTCTTATTTTCTAGTGAGACCCGTGACTTTGTTCTTGGCTCCACTCCAAACAGGGTTTTAGCTAGAGGGTTAAACCCTCTAAATGCTGCTCCTGAAGAGGCTCCTCGAAAGAGAGATCTAAACCAACAAAATGAAAAAGGTATTAAGAGAATCAAAATCATAGTTCCCTCGGCAAAGGTTGCTGCCACCTCTGAGCCTGCTGATAAGGTGCCAGAAGCAATTTTGATTTCAGATCACAGTAGTCCTGGAGATCGAGCATCACGAGCACTAGGAAAGACTGTGACTCCAGAAGATGAGAGTTCTGGAGATTAGATATAGTTCTCCCTTTATTTATTTTTATTTTTTATTTTATGTATTGTTTGTATCTGATTTTCTGTCACAATCTTCAATTTCAGGCTCCTCTTTCTCGAATATACAAAATCAAACGACCAATAGAACCGAGGCCGCTTCAAGCTATTCCGAGTCTTTCAAAAGGCGAAGTTGGAGCTTCTCACATTAACCTCAGCCTCCCGAACACATCATCAAATGATGGATTTTTGGACATGTCGCCCAGGACACGAAATGCAGGTATGTGTCCTGTTGTTGTTTACTGCACTTTTTTCCCTTCTTTTTTTTTTTTTTTTGAAACCATGTTCTATTTCTTGTAGGTTTTCCGAGCGTCCCTGAAGAACTAAATTTCTCCATGAATCCAAACTTTTTGCAAAATCAGACTGGCGAGAATGACGGGCGAATCGATGCACTTCAAGGAATAGATGGTATTAATGATTCTCATGACCTTCTTTGCAAATATCCAGGCACCATCAATGAAGGTACTTTGGTGCATATCATGGACAATTTTAATGCTGAAGATGAAGTAAATTCAGGGACTGTGAGAGCTAATATTTTAGAGGTCAATCAAGGAGTTCCTGTCGTTCCATCTTCGTTGGCTTTAGTCAGTATTCCGCCTTCACAAACAAATAATCATCGGGTTGCACCAATCTGTTCTTTCATGTCTGGTCCTCCACCTGGAATTACCCAAGAGTTTCCTTATCTGAAGGCTGCTCTGCAAGAAGTTATGAATAATTACCTCCAGAAATGTTTTAAGGATGTCTTAAAGTATGGATTCTCCAATATTCGATCTTGGTGGGATGAAAATAATTTAATTCTTCAGAATGTGATTTTCAACTCATTCCACGCAGACCCAGCACCTTTGATGAAATGCATGGATGTGTTTCTAAAAAAAATTGACTCTTACTTGCCTGAAAGAAAGCAGCACTTGGATTGTCCAACCGTTGAAGAAAAGGTGGAGGAGTTGAAACTTTTGAACATTCAACTGGAAGTAAAGGATTCCACGTGTTCTTCGTTGAGAGGCAAAATTAGTGAGCTAACCTTTAAGCTAGATAGACTTCGTGATGAACTTCAAGCCCAAGAGGAAGAAACAAGTATGATTGGAACCAAGAAGGCAGCATTGGAAGAAGCACAAGCAAGAGATGTCGCTAGCATAGCATCCATTGACCAGAAAAGGAAGACCCTTGAAGATAGTTTTCTGCGAGTGATCAATGGCGAGTGATCCTGACAAAGTCATGAATTTCTGATCTCTTTTTTTTTTTAAGACCATATTGTTTGAATTTTGACTTACTATTCTTATTTGGATGAACTTTTCTTTTTCATGTTTCTTGTGTCTTTTTTTTTTATAGCAATTGATAAACAAATTGAATGAATTTATTAGTTGTGATTGAACTTGAATTTATAATTTATTCAAGCTGCCTACGTACCCAAATGGGATCAAGTCGAACGTAGTTCATTACAAGAACACAATTTTTTTTTGTACAATGAAAAATTTAAAAATAAAAAACTTCAGGCATAAAAACGCTTTAAAAATTTTTCCATTGATAGGTCCGATTTGCAATCCATCTTTGTCGACGATCTTATACGCTCCGTTAGTGAATGCATGGGTAACAAGAAATGGACCATCCCATTTAGGTTGGAACTTGCCCCCTATTTTTCTTGTGATTATGATTGGCCTGCGCACGGAAAGTACCAGATCTCCAACTTGAAATGATCTTGGTCGCACCTTTTTGTTGAAAGACTTGGCCATTCGAGCTTGATAGCACTCTAGATGCATTTGTGCTTCTAACCTCTTCTTATCCAAAGCTTCCAGCTCTTCCAATCGAAGGCGGGCATTTTCTTCAGTTGTCAAACTTTCCTGAATAGCAATTCGAAGTGACGGAATTTGACACTCCAGGGGAAGGACAGCCTCTACCCCATATACTAAGGCATAAGGAGTGGCTTGTGTTGGAGTCCAATAAGTAGTTTGATAAGCCCATAAGACTTCAACGATTCTCTCATGCCAATCTCTTTTTGATTTGGAGACAACCTTTTTCAGCAGACTGCATAGTGTTTTGTTGAATGCCTCTGCCAATCCGTTAGCTGCCGCATTGTACATAGACGAGTTGTACTGTTTGAATCCAAACTTTGTACATAAATTATTTATGTGGCTATTGCAAAATGGCTTGCCATTATCAGTTATGATATGTCGCGGGACACCATATCGATAAATGATTTGGATACGAATGAAATCTGCGACATTTTCTTTCTTTACTTCCTTCAATGGTATGGCTTCGGCCCACTTAGAGAAGTAGTCTGTCCCGGCGAGGATGTATGCATGCCCTGCTAAAGACTTTGGAGTTATAGGCCCAATGACATCAAGACCCCATGCAGCAAACGGCCATGAAGCTATTGTCGGATGTAATGGTTCTGGAGGTTGATGGATGAAATTTGCATGGATTTGGCAAGCTTCACATTTTCTTGCATAATCCATGGAGTCTTGTACCATAGTTGGCCAGTAATATCCCATCCTCTTTATTCGAAAATGGAGTTTAGGTCCAGACTGGTGGGCACCACAAATTCCAGAGTGGGCTTCTTCCACGACCTGCGTTGCTTCATCATTACTTAGGCATCGAAGGAAAACTCCATCAAATGATCGTCGATAAAGTGTTCCCTTATAAAAGATAAAGCGAGAGGCACGCCTCTTGATTTCTGTTTTTCGCCTTGGATTATCTGGTAGCTTTTGATGTTGAAGGAAATCGATTATTGGCTGTCTCCAATCTTCTCTTTCCTCATCTTCGATTACTTCGACACTATTGTTTTCTTCTAAATTACTGGGTAGAAATGACGGAAGCACCCATCTTTGAGCAATTGATATGGAGTGGGAAAATTCTTCATCTGATCTAGCTAAAACAGCCAAATTAGCTAAGGCATCAGCTTCCTTATTTTCACTTCTCGGGACGAATTTGATTTTTATCAAATCAAATCGTCTCACAAGCATTGCTGCATGTTCATGATATGGCTTCAAGTCTGAATTACGGACTTCATATTCAGCTAAAAGTTGGTTGATTATCAATTTAGAGTCTCCAAAGACTTCCAGCTGGTGAATATCTATATCTAAAGCTGTTTCTAAGCCGATGATAAGAGCTTGATATTCTGCCACATTATTCGAACATTTCTCTGTTAAGGCAAATGAGTAGGGCATGACGAGATCATGAGGAGTGATGAAGACCACTCCTACTCCGGCACCATAACTTCGGGCTGCCCCGTCGAAGTATAGCCTCCATGATGGTATGATTTCGATGAATAGAACTTCTTCATCGGGAAGGTCTTCCTGAAGTTCCCATTCTGTTGGAATTGGGTGGTCAGCAAGGAAATCCGCCAAAGCTTGTCCTTTAATGGCCTTTTGTGGAATGAATTTGATGTCGAACTCAGACAATAGTAATGCCCATTTTCCAATCCTTCCAGAAAGAATTGGTCTGGACATTATGTACTTCAATGGATCAATCTTTGAAACAAGATTGATTGTATGTGATAGCATATAATACCTCAACTTTTTTGCTGCGAAGATTAACGCGAGGCACATTTTTTCAATAGGTGAATACTTCATTTCAGCGCCTACCAGTGTCCGGCTCAAGTAATAGAGTGCATTCTCTTTTCCTTCTTCGTTAACTTGGGCAAGAAGTGCCCCTAGAGAATATTCTTGTGCTGCAACATAAAGAGTCAGCGACTTCCCTGGAACTGGAGCTATGAGTACTGGTGGACGAGACAAATATTGTTTAATGCTTTGGAAAGCATTTTGACAAGCGTTGTCCCATTCAAATGGTACATCTTTCTTCACCAATTTGTTGAATGGATGACAACGTCCGGCTAGATTAGAGATAAATCTTCGAATGTACGCAAGTTTTCCTTGAAGACTTTTCAACTCACGTACATTTCTTGGCTCTGGCATGTTGATTATAGCTTCAATTTTTGATTGATCTATTTCAATGCCCCGATGTCGAACAACGAAGCCGAGAAATTTTCCAGAGGTGACGCCAAATGCACATTTCAACGAATTCATCTTTAACTGATGTCTTCGAAGTTTTTTGAAAACATCACGTAAATCTTGTAAATGATCGTCGTGTCTTTTTGTTTTAACAACAAGATCATCCACATAACATTCAACGTTCTTATGTAGAATATCATCGAAAATCTTTTGCATTGCCCGCTGGTAGGTTGCCCCCGCATTTTTTAATCCAAAAGGCATAACTTTGTAACAATATATGCCTTTTGGGGTACGAAATGATGTGAGTTCCTTGTCTTTTGGGTTCATCCGTATCTGATTGTATCCAGAAAATCCGTCCATGAAAGATAAGACTCCATATCCGGTAGTTGCATCCACCATCAACTCTGTTATTGGAAGTGGAAAATCATCTTTCGGACATGCTTGATTCAGATCCCGAAAGTCAACACAAATTCGCAATTGCCCGTTCTTCTTTTTTACAGGAACAATGTTTGCGATCCATGTTGGATATTTCACTTCACGTATAAATCCAGCTTCAATAAGTTTGTTGACTTCCATTTCAATTTGAGGAATCAGTTCTGGTCAAAATTTTCTTTGAGGTTGTTTGACAGGTCGAACTCCATGTCTTACTGCAAGATGATGCACTGCAACTTTAGGATTTAACCCCGGCATTTCATTGTAAGACCATGCAAACACGTCTTTGTATTCGTGAAGCAAACTAATGTACTCAGATTCTTCCTTTTGATTGAGAAGGGCACTTACAAATACTGGTCTCGGGTCTTCTTCGATCCCCAGGTTCAATTGTTTCAAGTCATCCACAGTAGCTTGTCCACCTTCCTCAAAAGTATGTGGGGCTAGTTCAGGTTCATCAGTTGCGACAGAACTTTCGGACTCGGAGTCTGAATCGGGAGCTTCTTCAAAGGCTATGTGATTGACAGAGACTTTTTCTTTTTCTTCACTCTCCTTTTGGGACGGACGAAGTTTTTGCTGTCTTCGTCTTCTTCTTGATCGTTGTGGCTTTAGGCTTGGATCAGAAGTTTTAATCCCAAGTCGAGAAAATGCGGATTGTCTTTGGGATGACGTTTGGGAAGCTTGTGCACTCTTATCAATTTGGGTAGAAAAAGAAGAATCTTCGCTTAATCTTTGGAAGACGGAAACTTTACCTTTTACATCAACTATTGGGGAGGATTCTCCTTTTAACCTTTTAAACACTGAAACTCTGGCATTCTTATTTTCAATTCAATCGAACACTGAAGGTTTCGGCTGTTCAGATTTCTCTTCTGCAACTTCATAAATTTGAATCATGATAGGGTTTGAGGAAACCTTCTTGACCTTAATCTTTCTTGGTAGATTGGGATCATATCCCAAACCATACTTGGGTCGGGACACCAAGGCTTGATCAGAATTAAAAGGGGGATGCCCTCCTGAAAGGACAGCATCAAGATCACCTAATTTACGAGGCTCTCCTTTTCCAAACCCAGCGTTTTCAAACAACTTTTTAACTTGAGAATTGTAACATCCTTTGAAAGTTTGTTTTGATTCAGCAGCTCCTTCTTGTTTGGATGAGCTGGAAATACAGAGTTTTGATATGTCCGGAAGAGATGTTGAAGCCTCTGATGTAGATTTATGTCCTTTCGAGCCCGCCATAAGTTGGTGGGGCAGAAGCAATTTTGGGATACTAGGTATTGGAAGAGTTAACTCTTTTCTCAATACCTCAACATCGATTGATTCTACTTGAGGTTCTTTGCCTTTAGAGAATTTTTCGGATGTAAATTTTGACTTATCTTTGATAAGTTGATGAGACTGAGCAGCACTAGATGTATCTTGATCGTTTGTATCTTCTTTGATTTTGAATCCAAACATGGTCAACCCTGAAGAATTACATTCTTCACCTTCCATGTAAAACTTGGCATCGGCAAAATGAGATTCTTCTTCGAGAAAAGGTTTGGACTCAGCTACCACACATTTGACCTCTCCGTCTCGGCTATATTTGAAGCATTGGTGCCAAGTCGAAGGTACCACTCCAGTTTCGTGCAGCCAAACACGTCCAAGGAGTAACTCGTATGATGTTTTAGCATCAATGACATGGAAAAGAGCCGAAGAGATTAACTCTTCTATTTGCAACTTTAGGCGAATCATGCCAATGGCTCGCTGACCTTTTTGATTGAATCCTTGAATCATGATTTTGCTTCTGGATAGATTACCAACATTGATTCCAATTTTCTTCATTGTTTTGACCGGCATAATATTTACAGCAGATCCACAATCGATCATCATGCGATTTATCTTGCACTTTCGAATATAACCGCTGACATACAGTGGTCTATTATGTGGACGTGATCCCAGCTGTAAATCTCCATCGTCGAATGTTATGGCGGCCATACAGTCTTGAGGAGATGTGGCTCCAATATGTTCTAAAACTTTGCCTTCATATTCTTCCGGATCGATTAATGCTGCCACCAAGGCCATTCGATCATCGAAGGGAAGGGCAAGAAACTCTACTAGACTTGTATTGGCAGGAATATTATTGAGTTGTGAAATAGTTTTCTTCTGTTTTGAAGTCTGTCTTGATACGTTCTTCATTTCATCTTTCTCCTTCACATTGATTACGTTGGAGATTAGACATTCTTTATCAAAGAAACCCTTAGGAAAATAATCACCCAAGGTGGGTAGTCTAGGAAGAACGCGTGGAGCTGCTTCCTCTCCGATTGATTTAATAGATACTCTTGGCTTGACTTCAGGTCTCCTTCTTTGATTGTTCCTTGGTCTTGATTTCTTGTCACAAAAGTTAGAATTTGAGAGTCGTGGAGCCTTCCGACGACGTCTTTTCACTAAGGTCCATGCCCCATGATCTTCTTCTAGCGTTTCTTCTTCATTGGGTTGAATTTTCGTACCCAATTCCTCCAACTTTGTTCCTACAAGAGACGTAGAAGGTAATATTTTACCTATTTTGTTTGGCATTATGTATTTCTCTTTCTTCTTTATGAAGGTAGACCAGCCGTCACCAATCTCGTCTTCAAGTTCTGAGTCGGAATCCCAAACATCTAAGTCACCTGTCATAATTTCATAAAAGGTTGGACGATTGGGTGCGCTTGGTCCATTCATCCCTGGATAGATATAACTGATGGTGATTTCTCCGTCTACTTCAAATTTCACTGGGATGGCTCCTTCCGGGAGTTGAGGTCCAAATTCCTCAACGGAGGATTTACTGGCATCGTATACATCAGAGAATGTTTGTTTCTTTCCTGGAATGGGAATTGGATCAAATGATCCAAATGAAACCATCGAGCATGTGGCTGTTGGATTCTCTCCAGTCTCAAGTTTGATCTTATTTTCTTTGTCCAAGCGAACAATAAGATCTTTCAAAACAAAGCATTTTTCCACTGGATGGCTAATGATCCTATGAAATTTACAGTATTTAGAATGATCGATCTTACCAACCTCCTCAGGTCTTTTTGGTACTGGAAGTTCGATTATTTTCTATTCAAGGAGCTGATCTAAAATTCCAGAAACTTCTGAATCTGAGAATGGGTACTCCCTTCCTTCAAGTTCCTTCAGAGTCACATGACTTCTGCTTTGGACTTGTCCTTTGTTAGGTCTGAACTCTAGCTTCGGTTTTGAGTTCGAGCTCGACCCTTGGAAGGCTATCTTTGCAGGAGCCATAGAAATCGCCATAGCCTCTTTGGATTTACTTGTCTTAACGTCCTTCTTTATATCCTTCTTAGGATCTTTCTTGTCACTTGGTAAATAACTCCCATGCCTTGCAATTTGGAGCTCCAGGTCATGAGCACGTGTCGCCAATTCTTCGAATGAGTGAGGCATGTTTGCTTGGAGATTATAGAGTAATCCCCAATGCATGCCTTGTACACACATGTCGATAGAAGATGCTTCACTTATTCGTTCTTTACAATTAAGCACAAGGTTTCTCTAGCGTTCAATGTCCTCTACTACAGGCTCTTCCTTGCTCTGCTTTGTTCGAGCAAGTTCTGGAAGGCTGACAGTTCGCCGGTTGCTATAGAAGCGTGTTAAGAACTCTCGCTCGAGTTGATCCCAACTATCAATTGACCCTGCCGGTAAGTCTGTGTACCATTCAAATGCAGAACCTTTGAGGGAGCGTACGAACTGCTTCACCATTGTGTCATTGTAAGTACCTGCATTGTTACATGTCTCAATAAAATGAGCAACATGTTGCTTTGGATTGCCCTTTCCGTCAAAACATTGAAACTTCGGAGGTTGGTAACCAAGTGGCATCCTTATTTCGTCGATTCGACGACTATAGGGTTTGGCATACACCAATGAAGATTGCAACGAACCACCATATTGGGCACGAATGGTGTCCGCAATCATATGTTGAAGTTGTTGGACGGATAGAGAGCCAACGGAGAGTTGAGTGGCGTCACGCAACACATTTTGAACAATTGTTCGATCATGTATATCTTGCTTTTGCTGATATTCTTGGACTTCTAACTCTTTGGCCTTGGAAGATCCTAAATTTTCCTGATCTTATTTAAGAGGTGGATTTTGCGACTCTAGTTTATGCATGAGTGCGGTAATTTGGGCATCTTTTTCTTCTAACGACTTTGTTAATTTTTCAATAGCTAAAGCCATTTGTTGGATTCGATCATCTGAGCCCGATGCCGCTTCTGTGACCATCACTGGCTCAAGTGATTCTTCAGATGAAGTATCATCTTCCCACTTTTGCTGAGAAGTAGCATGAGGGGATCCAGATAAGGATCTACCACTAGAGATGGATCCCGAACGAGAGTTTTTCGTCGAACTCATGGTTTTTTGTGTCTAATGAGAGTTTGGCTTTCTGAAGGCAATTTTCATTCTGTTTTTGTTGGAGAATTTCTTTAGTGGTGTGACCAGTTGAGTTTTCTCAATTTTTGTTTGGGCCCTGGTCGCGTGGAAGAGTTCAGCAAGTGTCTCTTCGAGATGAGTCATAGTTTGTTTCGCCTTTTCGCTTGCCATTGCTGATATAGTATTTGAAATTTGAAGATTTTGAGATCAAAAGATGAGAGGACAGAAGGTCCCACTGGGCGTGCCAAGAAATTTGTACGACGGAATTTCGTGTATTAAAATACAGAAATCGTTACAAATTGGATTGAGATAAATACAAGTGATGTTGACCTTCTTATAGTTGCAAAATTGCAAAATCCTCTGATTAATGATCTGAATATTTGAAGACGAGTGGCCGCGTGGCTTAAATCCTAATCTTCAATAATTTGTTGAAAATTTGATTTGTCGATATTTGACTTGTTTAGAACTTGAATCTTGAGGCTTGGACTTGGATTTGAATTTGATTTAATTTGAAGAACACTTTGATCTTCTTGAATTTGGTGTGAACCTGTTTGATTTGAAAAAGATTTTTATCTTCTTGGGGTTCACCGAGTTAAGGCTTGACAGAATTTCTTCCCTTCTTTCAGCCTTGAGATTTCTTCAGCACTTCGTGGTGTTCTCTGCTTTCTTTTCTTGCTTGCTTTCTGTCTCTTGTCTTATGGATCATTGGTCTTATTTATAGGGGAGGATTCGGACTAATTTTGATAATTACTCAATTA